ACTGGATATTTTTTTGAAAATGAGTTAGCCCCCTTTTGGATTTAGGAACTGCTATTCAGATATAGTGTTGTTGTTTTTTACTAGTTTCATAAAATTTCTTGAATCATTGGGTCATTTTACCCTTGCTCAGTTTTAGATCAATATCCTATTTAGTAGTTTCATTTTAGTTTTCTCTTAATGGAAATTTATTTCTGCCAAAAAGCCAAAAAGCTTGATGTTCTGGAATGAAGTATAGAACTATGTCTATTCTGTTTTCTCCTACTCTGTACAACAGTCTTAAGCCAGAATGTATTCATAAATGACTGGTTTAAGTGAAAGAATTTGATCAGCATTTAGAGAAAAATATAATTCTCAAAAAATGCTTCTTCTGTACTCTTTCTTTGAGGATGTATTATTTCTATCTCTTGATAGAAACAGACAATAGAAAAGCAAAGCAAACATTTTCTTTGGTTATGTTCATTTTTTCTCCTGTCAAAAAGGCTTTTCTCCTAGGTTCCTATTTATTGAAAATACATTTATTCTCTCTCCTTTTCTTACCCCACTGCCTTTCCTTACAGTCATTCTTCAAATATTTTTGAGCATGTACCGTATTAGGCTTTGGAAATTCAGTGATAAACAAGAAAGGAAATTCTTGTCCTGATAAAATTATATATCAATGGAAGAAGATAAACAATAAATTAAATACATCAGATAAAATTGTGAAAAGTGCTATTTTAACTAAATAAGCAGGATGATGCAATATACAAGGACCAATAATTGATTTTAATAGTTCTTCTGAGAAGACTGTCAGGGAAGGCCTTTCTGAAGAGCAGCTAATATACTTTGTCCCTTTTATGTTTCTTATTTTTCAGTGTCAAATAATACATTTCCAATGCAAATTTCGTAGATTAGTTTACTTCAATTAGTTTACAATTTTACTTGTAAAATTCACATATTTTGTTTGACTTCACTGGTTGCTGCAGGAGTGGGCTATAGAGGGAAGAATTACTAATTTTCTTTCTTTTTAAGAGGACCATTATATGGTTGAAATTTAACCCAATAGATTTTACTGTTATTCAAGGATAATTCTAGAACATTGTTTAGCACAGTAGTACAGATACCATAGATTCCTCAACTGAAAAAAAAAAAGTACAATTGATAACATCCATCTCAAAAGAAGGCAAACTTTCCCTTAGCAAGCCATATGAGCAAATATTTTAGGCTTTTCAGAATGTATAATCTGATAACCATTACTGAGCTCTACCATTGTATGGTGAAAGTAGCCATAGTTGACATGTAAATGAATGAGCATGAGTGTGTTCCAATAAAACTTTATTTACAAAAGCAGGTGGCAGGTCAGATTTGGACTCCAGGCTCTAGTTTGGCAACCCCTGACCTATCTGCTTATTGTTATGAGGAGTAAATGAGGTCATAGTACCTGAAGTAAATATCAGTCTAAAGTTAAATACATTATTGTATTTAATATTGTAAATCTGAAGTAAATATGTTATTATATTTAGTAAAATTATGATTAGTATCATTATAAATATTACAAAGACTAAGGGTGTCAAATGCTGAGCAAAATTCTCAGTCTGATCCATTATCTAGCATTTATGTATGTGCTGTCTTTAGTTTCCCTCTCATTAAAACTCACTTATATTTAGGGTTTCTTTAAGCCTTAGCAATAGATATATGTGCTGAGGAATTATTGTGGAATCATGATTCACTTTTAACCTAAACATATTTTTATTTAAGTTTTACTTGTTATTTTTTATGGAAGACCAATGTTAATGCCTTTAAGTAATTAATAAATGCCCTCTTGTTTTATGCATAGTATCCCAAAGGCAATGTGCTATAATTATTATCCCTGAAAATAGTACAATTAATAGTCCCCTTGGCTATTCTCTGTCCTCTGTGTTGTGAGTCCTTTTTTCCTTTACTAGTATTAGTTCTTAGAATATAGACTGTCCCTGTGCACTCACATTTTCATTTTCCTCATGTATGTTGCTGTTCTTCATATCATAGTACAATGCACAGATTAGAAACAGACAACTTAAAAACAGCTACTGCTGGTTGCCTGAAAGGTTCTTTCAACTTAGGAGGATATATTTTAAATACTTTTGTCATTAAGAACAATATACTACTTAGTCAGATCAAACATAGATTCCAATTTGTACTAATGTATATTATTCTATTTGATGTGACTATGTTACTTATTATAAAACTAGAGGCCCAGTGCATGATATTCATGCATAGGTAAGGTCCCTAATGACTGCTGGCTGCTGGCTGGGGCCTCCCTTCCCCAGCTGCCAATCAGGGCCTTCCTTTGTTCCACACCACCCCCTGGTGTCAGCACACATCATAGCGAGCAATGGAACTCTGGGTCAGTCAAAATCCTGAGGGGACACTTTGCATAAGGCTTTTATATAGATAGATAGATGCATTAAGTACATTAACTCAGAGCAAGTTGAAATGTATATTTATGGAATTGTTTGATGTTTGTATTGGTTTCTGCCCCCCCTCTCCCCCCCCCCCCCCCAAGCATGAGATTAAACATTAGGCCAAATAGAATAGTAGTAATGTTTAGGGAATATATAAAGTTTTACTATTTATTTATTTATTTATTTATTTATTTATTTATTTATTTATTTATTATTGATTTCAGAGAGGAAGGGAAAGGGAGAGAGAAAGAGAGAGATAGAAACATAAATTATGAGAGAGAATCATTGGTCAGCTGCCTCCTACATCCCCACCCTGGGGTTTGAGCCGACAACCTGGGTATGTGCCCTGACAGGAAATCAAATTGTGACCTACTGGTTCATATGTTGCTCAACCTCTGAGGCATGGTGCCAGGACAAATTTTACCTCTTAAATGCTGTCCTTATTTATTATAAATACTGGTGGAGCAATAAATTACAACTTTATTTATACTTGATATGATTTACAGTTAGATAAAATTAACTATATAAATTTAATTGCATAAAAATGACGTGGTTGCTTATGGATCTCAGATATATATCTAGTAAGACTAGAGGACAGAAAACCCACAAGTACCCAGAAAGCCCATCAAATTAGAATGGAGGGGATACTCCAAATACTTAACCTGTAAAAGAAAATTTGTCAATTAGGAGCATCTAAGATTGCTGCTTTCAAATTAATGGAAAGGCTGATTTGTTGAAGAGGCATTAAAGTTTTAGACTATAAAATTTTTTAAAACTATGAAGACATTTTTTTCCCCCAGGAAGATAGAATTCATGAGGTAAATGAATGGTTCTGGAATTTCTGAGTTGATGGAAGATACACTTGTCAACAATATGCAAATATCTGCTTAGGATTTCAGGTCAACTATAGACCAACTCTTTAAGGAAGGGGTGTCCAAGGACCCCAGATTAAGCATACCCTAAAGTTAAAAAACAAAAACAGAAAACAACATAACTTTCTAGCAAACAGATCTGTTGAAAAACAAAATACACAGTCTGATGAATTTCCCATCACAGGAGTTCAGACAGTCTAGAATAATACATGATCTCATGTCTCAGAATTTGCAGAAATAATTGTTTCGTTAATTGTAGACTCTCTTTCACTGATCCTTCTTAGTACTCTGTATGTTAACCTGAAAACAAAAGGCCTTTAAAGGGAGAGGCAACAAGCCTTTTAGATCCCAAACAACAGCTGTTCTGGAAGTACTGATTCAGGTAGGAACCCAGTATTCCAATTAGGAGGCTAAGGTAAGGGGCATTTATGATAAAGGGAAGGGGAACAATTACATGAATACAAGGAATGAATTTCTTTAGGTGCAGAGAAGCTAACATAGTGATGCCAATTCTAAAGAATATTTTTAGTCCTATCATAATATCTGCTTTCTTGTTATCTTTGCAAACAGTTGTTTGGGATACAGTGCTGCTTTAGGCCCAATCTAAAGGTTTTTGTCCAGTTTTAACATTCCAAAGGTTTGAGGAGTAAGAATTGTAAGGGATGGCAGCTCCTACTCCATTTGAAAGTGGCTCTGTTTATATTATTATTATTAATGGAAGCCTGGTACACAAAAATTCGTGCACTGGCGGGGGTGGGGGGGAAGGAGTCCCCTCAGCTCGGCCTGCACCCTCTCACAATCTGGGACCCCTCGGGTAGGCTAGGTCTGGCTTGAGATCAGGGCCTATCAGGGCTTTCCTCCCCCACCCCCACTCTGCTGCAGTCCGCAGAGCTGGCCCCACCCCCGTTGCTGCCACTGCTTGCCATCTGTGCAGTGCTGCACGCCCTCCTTCCCCCCCCCCCCCTCCCCTGTCACCAATGGCCTCCCTTTGCAGGCAACAGATATGGGGTGCGATGGCTTGGCTGGCCTGGGCCTCCCTCTGTGCGGTGATGGCTGCTGGCCGCATACCTGCTACAGAGTTGCCGCCTGTGGTCTCCCTCTTTCTTTGCTGGGTTGAGGGCCAGCCCTGTGAGAGACCGCCTGCCTACCTCATGGCCTCTAACCACTCTGCCTGCTTGCCTGCCTGATCACCCCTAATTTGGGGGCAGAGCCAGCCCTGCGAGAGGCTGTCTGCCTACCTTATCACCCATAACCCATGGTCTGCCTGTCTGATCATCCCTAACCACTCGGCCTGCCTGCCTGCTTGCCCTTAACGGCTTGCTTAGGGGCAGGACCAGCCCGGCTAGAGGCTATGGTGATTCTGGTCGTTCTGGTTGTTACACTTACGGTGGCTGGCTTTTTATTATATAGAATTATTATAATTTTTTTTAGAGGTTATTAGATGTGTTTAGATATATCAAAAAAGGCAGTATCTTTTACTCAAAAGATTTGTTGAATTTTTTTCCTTGAAGTACTTAAGACTAGAAAAAACTGAATTTCTTTGCCTGTGAAAAAATGTCCAGGCTAAGAAAAAAAAAATCTTGTAAGCGTTTATCTGGGGCGGCACGCGCCCGCCAGTCTGCCCACTCCTGCCCCGCGAGCACCTGCTGCATCTCCCCCCCCCCCTCCCCGCCTTCTACCCCCCCGCAACCCGGCTCCCCGCGCGGCCATGGAGCGCATCGAGGGGGTGGCCGTGGGCCGTTGCGCATCCTCGCCCAACATGCAGCCGCTCACGATGAACTACCGCCAGAACGGCACCCAGAGGTCCTGGAACTTCATGAAGACTCAGGACAGTGTGGCCCTCCTCCTGTTCAACACGACCCGGAGGAGCCTGGTGCTGGTGAAGCAGTTCCGGCCGGCGGTGTACATGAGTGAGCTGGATCGCCTCTTCCCGGGCTTCCTGGCCTCCTTGGACACCAGGCCGCGGGCGCCGCCGGGGGTGCTGCCCGGCTCGGCGGGGGTGATCCATGAGCTGTGCGGGGGCATCGTGGACCAGCCCGGGCTGTCGCTGGCGGAGGTGGCCTGCAAAGAGGCCTGGGAGGAGTGTGGCTACCTCCTGTCCCCCGCAGAGCTGCTCCTGGTCGCCAGCTACAAGGGCGGCGTGGGGCTGACCGGCTCCAGCCAGACCTTGTTCTACGCGGAGGTGACAGATGCCCAGAAGGGCGGCCCGGGCGGAGGCCAGGCTGAGGAGGGCGAGCTCATTGAGGTTGTGCACCTGCCTCTGGGGGAGGCCCAGGTCTTCTCCTGCAACCCGAACATCCCCAAGACCCTCGGCGTCATCTTTGGTATCACCTGGTTCTTCCAGAACGTGGGCCCTGGCCTGGGTGTCCACTAGACACTGGAGAGGGTCTGGATCGAGGCTGGGCCTGGCCCCCTCCCTGCAGCCTCAATAAAGGCTCATCGCGTTTCAAAAAACAAACAAACAACAAACAAAAAACAGAATAGAGTTTATCTGAGCCAAGCTGATAATTACTGGGAAGCCAAATCTCAATGGATTGAGAAAATGCTCCAAAGAATGGCAGGTTTGCAGCTTACAGTGATATTGTAGGAGCACACTTTGACTGAACCATAGCCACCTGGAAACAGACTGTGTTTGGAGAACAGAAGATGGTCCAACTGCTCAAAAAATTGGAAGAGATTTAGGAGCTCTGTGTTAGGAACGAGGGGCAAAGACCAAATAATTATTTCCCATTGTACCACACCTTTCACAATAATAATAATAAAAAGTGTAGATAAGGGTTACTGCTTGTCCCATGCATGCTGAAATACATGTGCACAGACTCGCCTTTTTAGTCAATTGGCCACAAAAGTGGCCAAGTAACTATAGTCCTTGTTCTAGCTACGTCTTCTCATCTCCTTTCAGTTCTACATTTACTACAGGGTGAAAATGAGTCCATTCCCCCCACCCCTTTGTTCCTGTCATAGCTCTTAACACATTGCCTTGCATAGAGCATAGCCCCGAAAGATTTGAGTGGAGTTTGTTTAAAATAAGCACCACATTAGCTTATTGAAGCTTTATTACTTTTTCATAGTAACTAACATTAAAACAACCATGACAATAAAAATTGCAAAATTTGAATGCCACATATGTGCTAATAACTATGCAGGATTTTTATATATACAGTCTCTCAAATTCTTACAAATATTTTCAATTATATTTTACTTTCCCCATTTTATACATGAAGCCCAAACAATTTAATTGACTTTCCCATAGCTACATAGCTAAGATTCAAATATAGGACTGTTTGTAACACACTGCTCCTCCTGCCAGACACTTTTTGAAATGAAACAGAATTGGGGAAATTTAGAGTAATATTTTTACTACCCTAGTTCCTGAAAAACTTCATCACCCCCACCTCATGGACTTTCCCTTTATAGTTCTACATCTGGCTTATTTTAATCCATTATAATTTGATGATAAAGAAGAATAACATTAGGTTTGTGTTATATGATATTTCTTGGGAAACCTTACATTAATTACTTTGCCTTAAAATTTAAGAAGGACCTTTTCCCTATCTGGGCAGCTTTATATTTGAATACAGAAAGACAGAATACAGAAGTGAATGTATGTATGTATGGTATGATTTTTTTAATATATATTATTGATTTTTCACAGAGAGGAAGAGAGAGGGATAGAGAGTTAGAAACATCGATGAGAGAGAATCATTGATCAGCTGCCTCTTGCACACTCCCTACTGGGGATGCGCCCGCAACCAAGGTACATGCTCTTGACCGGAATCGAACCCGGGACCTTTCAGTCCCCAGGCCAATGGTCTATTCACTGAGCCAAACTGGTCCCGGCTGTATGGTATGATTTTATTTCTAAAATTTTTTTCTTATTTAGAGCAACCAGAATCTTCTAGGTATTTTTTTTCCAGAACCACAATTATACTTTATAATAAAAATCAGTAAGTAACTACTGCAACATATTTTTATTCCTATCCTCTGACAGCATTTACTTTGTGTCATTTGTTGTTTAAGAGTGCCAGAATTTTAACAGCAGACATTCTATTGATTGAAGATGATAGCTATTTGGATAAAAGGTACAGGCAAACTATTACTAATGAGTGTGGTACAGTGATATTGACAAAGTTTCAGTCTGCATCCTGACTTGCATACAGATGTAGGAAAATCACATAGTCTGGTAAATTCTAATGTTTCAGACTAAATCCTTTTCTAAGTTATTTGTTTTGCATAAATCTGATAGGAATTAAATAGGTTTTCCTACTCAACTGGGAAATCAATATTCAGAACTGATCTGAAGTAAAATTTGGCTCCCAGTTTAATCCCAGGATTAAATAAAACATCTTAGATATTTATTTTTTATGTCCTTTAAAAATTCTACACAAAATAATATTTATAAGCCTATGTTTTTCTCATATAATTAAAAGGTACTTTAAAGTGGCATCAACTTAACAAAAATAGGGAATTTTTGTGGAGTTAAAGAATATTAAAAATGTCTCATTATTCTGTTTACTCAGCCATTCTTTTGGCAGGAGTTCAACCTGACCAGCTTAATAGTTCCTCTGTAGAATTCTTCATCATCTGGTAAATAACCTTAACTACCTCACAAGGTGAGCGTGACAGAGTGTGAAGTAAAAAGAAAAGAAAGGGATTATGGGAGATCCTATTACTGTTAAAAAAAATAAAATGTACTCCTTTTTGAAAGAGAATTATAATCACAACCTTCCTATGTAACTTGCTGTGCCCACTCTGAAATATAGATTCCCATCCCATGCACAGTGGGCTTTGGCCAATAAAATGTGATCCAAGCACCACATCCAAGCAGAAATCTTCAACAGCCATTGTGTCTGTTTGCCTCATTTCTCTTGTTATTCTCACCCCCCCAGACCCCCCCCCCCCCCCCCCCCCGTCATGAGGATTATATGTCTCAGGTAGATGTCTCACCTTCAGTCTGGATTTTTGAATGAAAGGACATGTGGGACAGAAACCCACAGGCCAACATGCAATATCAGTGAGAAATAAAACTTTGTTGTTGTAAGATATTGAAATGTATTGGTTGCTAATTACCTTAACACAGCTGACTAATACAAAATGTAATTTTGTGCATAGTTTTAACTCCAAGAAATATGGAGTAGAATTATCTCAGTAATAAATATGAGAAAACAATAAACTCCTTTTGGGGTTTAGAATAAAAAAATGGGATTAATTTTATTTTTAGAATTGTATTTTAAATGTGAACATAAGATAATAAGTACTACTTTCAATTTATGAATGTATAGAAATGACTATTTTAGAACTTCTTTATGTTGTGATATGAACAATGGATAGTTGCTTTTTTCAACAATAATTGTTTTTTACTCCAAAAAGCAAACATTTTCAAGTTTAAAACCATTCCAATAAATTCTAAGGAGCTGTCAAAGATTTTTATTAAAACAAAATAGAATTTCATTGTTTTGACTATTTTAAAGATAAATACAACTTCAACTGTTGTTTAGAAATATTTTCCTATGCTTTATTGTATTAGTATTTGTTTTTCATAAGGTTAATTTGCCTATAATAATTATCTGATTTACTATACTGAATTTAGTTTAGCAATGGAGGTTTAAAAACAGTTGTAGAACTATGAATATTTTGCAATTATTGGAACTGTTATTTGTTGTCTTTCTAATAGCTATAAGAGTAACATTATATATAGTTAAAAATTAAATACAGGTTATACCAAGAATGGATTATGAAAAGTAAAAACTTAACTCAATTTCATCCTATAATCTTCATAGAACGAATAATTATTAAATATATATATTTTTATTTTTAGTTCAAGTTGTTATGCCTCCTGCCCATTATTCCGAATGTCATTTTTGGACTTTAATTTTTTAATTTATCAACTTTGAATTTATCAGATGACTTGTGATGTGGTACCTTAGCAATTTAGATCACTCACACCAATGTTTCTTAAACTTTAATGTACAAAGAAATCATCTGGTGATTCAATTAAAATATGGGTTATAATTAACACAAACTTTTCATTATACTTCTTATTTGTTGGTCTGGGATACACTAACTCTCTAAATCTGTCAAAAATATGCAATTCTACAACTTCGTGTTAGTTCTTCCCTTGAGTTAGTGTACTCTTCCTTGGATCTTCTATTTCTTCTCTCTTAGATTTAATGTTTTAGTTTAATTTCTTTAATATTCCTTCAAGTAGTCTTTATCCTTTTACAGTTACAAATGTCTTTATTTTGTTTTCAAACTCAAATTGACTATTGTGAGTGTAGAATTCTAAATTAAAAATCTGTTGCTTTCAAAAGTTTGAAGATACTGCTCCATTTTCTAGTTTCCAATAATATTGATGGGAAATTTGATTCAAATCAAATTTTAATGCCTTGAAAGTAAACTTATTTTTGTTATTAGATGCTTTAATTTTTTTCAATCCATTCTAGGAGTTCTGAATTATGTTAGGATGAATATAGGTTTGAGTTATTTCAAATTTTAACTATGCATCTAAAGATTCCTTAAAATATGAAGACTTGAATCTGGCTTTCAGTTATTAAAATTGTTTCCTATACTTCCTTTATTTCTCCTTTGTAATCCTGTACTACGAAGTTTAGCATCTGAATATCTGTGAGTTCAATTCTGTTAATTTACTTGTGTCTTGACAGTAAGTTGTTTTCTCTTTGGTGTGTATGTGTATCAGCATTTTCTTGTTTCTATGGTGAGCACAATGTTCTTCCTAGCTCTCCAAATCCTAAACAGAAGGGAAACTTTCAGTAATAATCTCTTTAAATCTCTCTTAGGATGAAACTAAAATTTTAAAAAATCATCTTTTGTTCCTGACAATGTTGATATTTGGCTCAGAATTCTGTTTTTAAAACTTGGAAACTGAATGTTTCTTTTTCCTGTTATCTATATACTAGAGGCCTGATGCACAAAATCTGTGCAAGGGGCTTCGCCCTCACAGCCTCAGCTGGTCCTCATAACCCCTTGCAGCCTCAGCCAACCCTTGCAGTCCTGGCTCCATCCAGAAGGTCGTCCAGATGGTCATTCTGTCTGGTCTAATTAGCATATTAGCTCTTTATTATATAGGATATAAAAGCCTAAGTGACTATTACAACTGGAATGACCAGTTGCTGTGACGTGCACTGACCACCAGGGGACAGATGCTCAATGCAGGAGCTGCCCCCTTGTGGTCAATGTGCTCCCACAGCCAATCTCCCCCAGCTGTCCAACCTCCAGCGGTCCCTCCCCCTTGGCCGGCAGGGCCCGATCGCCTGATCAGGGCCTGGACTTGAGCTGGGATGGGGAATTGGGATAGGTGACAATGCATTCGGCCTCTTTCCCAGGACAGCCAAGGGCTGGCTCCCTCCTTAGGGC